TCTGCCCCAGGGCAGCTGTGGCTACAACTGTAGCTGCCTCCACCAGTGTGTGAATGGGTGGATGACTGGACTGTAAAGCGCTTTGGGGTCCCTAGGGGGACCCCAAAGCGCTGTACAAATACAGGCCATTTACTGATTTTAATCGGACCAAACGTGTATGAAAAAAACTGAAACGTAATTTTTTTTTTCCTGTTTTTAGTTGAAGCTTCGAGGTTAGCTCCAAAACCTTTTTAAACCCTTTTTAAAATGCCCAACTTTACAATATTACAAAACATATTTAGAGGTCTGACACAAGCAAGATTTCATTTTTTATAATGTCTAATTTCACCCTTTGTAACAACTGCACATGGGTGCATTTCATTAAAACTCAGTATCGTGTGTCTGGATCTTGATAAGGCTTATATTTAGGGCCACTTTGATTGGCACCCTTGCCAAACAGCTGTCTGCCAGGTCTCACCTCAGCTCATTGAAGTCAGTAAAGTGGACCTCTTGGTACCTTCTGGAGCATTTTAATGCAAGGTAATATTGCCTTCAGACCGTTCCAGACATTTTCACAGAATTCTGGTAGTACTTTGATGCTAAACACTAATTAGCATAGATGTTTGTCTGTGTCATCCAATCATGGCCACTTCTGGCTCCAAAACACCAACATAAATCCAGACATACAGGAAACCAACAATCCACTGCTTGACCTGCCAACATGGGGTTTGCATTACACAAAACCCAAAGTGTCAAATTGTCACATGATGTGCAAGAGCACAAAAAATTTAATCACACCTGCTGATTTATGCAAATTGACAACGAAATGAGCACATATACGCCTTATACTCACACACTGCTCATCATTACTGACATATACTGGTTAATTGATCCCTCAGCACTCTTGTTTTTGTCTGGTTGATATTTCCCCACTGCTCATTAGTCTGAGGGAAACACGGTGGAGCGCACAGATCAGAGAGAGCTCGCACAATATTGATGACACCATGCTGAATACTCTGAGGACACAGAGGCGAGCAAAGGAGCTTAATTTTCTGATTAGTTAACACCGCGAACGTCCAAAATGTACGTGTATGTGTTTGAGCGCACTCCTGCTTGAGTGACAAAAACAAAAAGACAAAAACATTCATTATTCAGCGGCGAGACAAGAAGACTGAATCCCCTGAAGG